ATGGCGTGTATTTCAATACTTGGAGTATGTATTATACTTTCTTATCTGCGATTAATCAGTGGACCTTTCAGTAGTAGGCGTATCGTAGAAGAGAATCACTAATGGGCATTGACCTCCAAAGTACTGTAGAAGTACAGAAATAATAGAGTGTTTTTTTGTGGATGAAATATGGGTATATAGAACGACTAGGAAACAGGTGTGATATCGAAATTCCAAAAGAGGAAGCATGTTATAAAGATATTCTGTTTTCTTTCCTCTATTTCTTATGTAAACCCGGATTTAAACTTTTCAAAACGTGGCCTTCTACAATGTGTATTTAGGCTTCATCAGTAATGCATAAATCGTCAATTAGTCGATTGAAGAACGCTTTTGTATCATCGGCACACCTTTTTAGTGTAACCTTACAACGACTAGACAATATTAAATTGATATAGAGAAAACACACACATTAAAAATTATTATGTTCTCTGCCTTATAAAGTATAATGAACATAATCTGATGAAAAAACTCAATGCAAAAACTAGGAGGAACAATACATTAAAAATATGGGGGGGGGGGGGGGGGGGGGGGAAATAACTCTCCAAGTGGAAAAAAATCCGTGGGGAAAATTAGCAGGTGGCAAGTAACCACCACCATAATGCTATTTTCTGTAAAGTAAAGCCTCAAACCACTTCGATTTTGAGTCTACAAGATTAAAAATTCTTCCCAGGCTTTTCCAGATATAGCAATAACTAATTTTTTTGCTTTTTTTGATAGCAGATTAACTTTTTTTAGATTTCAGTGGGTTAACCTGACTCAAAGACAAGCTTGCGTACAAACCTAACATGCACATTTCCATCTCTATAAAATAGGAGACGGCCATGTTAACACGCGTGATCTTTCCTTAAAATGAAAAATCAAAATTTAAACTACTGTACTGTATTTTAAAACAAGGACAATAGACAGTTTCTCCCAAAGTACAGAAACATCTCTTTAAATAAAGTTGAAAATAATACAATTAAAAACAAATTCTTTTGTATTTAAAATAATTATTTAAAATTAATGACTCAAGTTACGACATGATTGTTTTATATATCTAATAAAACTAATTTCTTCTAATTTTAAATATATTTTCCTTGAATTCGTGATTATTCGTCATTACGCATAGACTTGTACACTAAATGCGTGACAAATTTAATATCACGCATGTGTTTCTGCCAAATGCGTGTTGCATCCAAAATCACTTTAAAATGCGGGACCGTCCCGCACGACGCGAGACGGTTGGTAACTATAAAGATGATCCCGCGTGAGTACAAAAAAACAAAACAGCCATAAACCCTCCTTTCGCCGTCGGTCAGGTAGTATGATGGTATCGCGCGTATACGTCCCCATACTGGAAAATATTTTGCCCGACTACCCATGATCACGCCATGCATAACATTCATTTAGATCTGACAGTTGTTAGAACGCCTTCTCATGTGTCTCTGCTATGCCAGTTAAAAGTAAAAATTAAATTTAAAAAAAAAATAATTTTTTTCAAAACCCTGTAAGTAGGTTCGCCATGTTTGTTATGGGATTATTGTTCTAATATTCAAGAAATATGCATTGTAGGACATTAAATAATACAGTTGATGAAGTATGGTTTACTTTTCCATTAGAGCTTCCGGTACTTTCTCATAATGATGCAAAATGACATTTGTAGATAAAGCCAAATATATTAACAGCGCCCCCTACAGTTACAGATTGTTACATGCACTTGGCGGATTTAAAGTCCTCGGGGTGCGCCTTACCTTAATTAATTGGAATAACTCCCTTAAATTATAAAAACAAACAGAAATTCCGTAATTTATTGGCACTTCTCATATTTAATTTGATATTTTTTCAAAATGTTAATACCATATTTTAAGAGGATGACCCATCAAATACTAGTACAGGGGCTTATGTAGCAAAATAGGCTCGAGTTTGCAATTCATGTTAATTTATGGCAACAAGGTTTTTCCGACTCAGAATTTTATACTGAACAAGAAAAACGTTGGTGCCAATTTTTTCGAGAAGGTTAACTGGCCGCCACCTTGGAAAACAAGATGGCGGACGCATGTGGTCAAACATAGTATTATATGGCAACATTGGAAAGGAAATCATTTTTTCCCATTACACAAGTATCAAGAAATGCATAGAAACGGAGATATTCGCAATTAAACACGTCATTGTCTGCTGTCCTCCATTGGTGAAAATTTCATTTTTATTGTTGTTTCTAGGAAGTTGGCTGGTTTTCTTGGTTCTAATTGTAAATACAGATATTTTGTAGAGTCTTATGTTTGTAACTAATTTGATACATTGATAAACAAATTTCATTTGTATTCATGGGTACTTTTTTTTTTATTAAACAATGTAAATATTAATATTATTTGTTCATTGCAGTGACAGTTTCCTATCAATATATTTGTTTTAAGTGCATGTTAATACAGCTGCAATATCCTGCTATTTTCCAGTCTCGGCAAAAACAAAATCGTTAAGCAGACCGCTTGATTATCAGAGTAATTGTAAATACCATATTTATTGGAATATATACCCAGGGACTTTCATTGTTAAGAAAGGTTTTGAAGGGACGTTTATTTTAAGGAGGCGTTTATTATTATTATTTTTTTTCTTTTGGTGTAAATTTGTTACGTATATACTCAAAATATATGCCCTTAAATTTCACTACAACACATAATTACTATCAAAATGAAAGGAAAAATGTAATTCTACTAATTCTACTGGAGTAGAAACTCAATAGAATCTGTTGACAATGATGTTGCTTTGTTTACTGTCATTTGGTTGGGTGGGGAGTTGATTATTTGAGGAAAAAATTAAGGCGTTTATTCCAAATGAGGTTCTAGAGGCGATGTTTATTCAGATAAATATGATAACAGATTTATCTATGGTTAAAACTTTTTACGTAAAAGTTTTGAAAAATGAGAATATTTTACCTACAGTAATAACAACAGGCACATTTCATTTTAATTTTTATAATTAAAGTTCTCTGCTTTATCTATTTCTGTCTAATTTTTGGAACTAAACAAAATCAAAG